AAGAGATTCAATATGTAGTAAGTTTCAAGTATCTTGGTGTCATACTTGATCCAAGGTTATCTTGGGCGGATCATGTCGCAAGAACGTGTAGCTCTTCATCAAGGGTACTATATCGTCTTCGGCATTCTGTCAATGATCTAAACACCAACCTAAAGCGACAACTCGTAACGAGTTTAGTTCTTCCAGTCTTCGATTATTGTGCGGTAGTGTTTACAAATTTGAACATGAACTTTAACGATAACTAATATATTTATTATTATTCTTTTAAATATTTGTATTAAACTATAAAAATAAAACGAAATAATCAACTTTCTCTAGGAAGACTATAAAATAAATAATAAACCTATTAATTATTTATAAATTATAAAATTATACTTTTATAATTATAATTTTTAATTTTTCGCTTTGAAAAATAATATATTCCACCCTGAGGGAAGTAAAGTAAGAAATGTCTGAGATCACATGTAATCTGATCAACAAAACATGTGATCTGAGGTTTTCTTATTTACTTCCCGAGGAGTGTATACTATTAGTCCAGTCGGCCTGGAAATAAAAAGAGGTTTGTTGGCAACTTTTCGACAAAATGGTCCGATTTTGGATTTTTTTTTTTTAAATACTCAGAAAAATATTCTAAACATTTGTGTGTATGTCGGAAGTGTTGCTTTTTTTTTGTTTAAAAAATAGCGTTTTAGCGTCGAGCTTTAACTTAAAATATCTCGGAAACTACGCAAAAGTAGTCGAGACATGCTGCGTATGAAATTTAGAGAATTTAATAAGGAAAAAAATGAGCTAAGCCCGATGTTTGTACGATCAATAGTTTACGAGATATTAATTTTTTAATTAAAAAAAGCGCGGTTTCGCTCGAGCGCTTATATACAAATAGCTGTAACTCCGCGAAAAATCGATCGCTTTACTTTTTTTTTTTTTAAATTAAAGCTTTTGTTGTCTTTCATAAGCAAAAAATTCAGCTAAGCTCAAAAAAATTTTTTTGAATTTATATGAATAACTTTCTTTTTTTTGAATTTTTGCATTAAAAAATAGTTAAAATAAAAATTAAATTATTTTTGTTGCATAAAAATGTTTTTCCGGTAACCAAAAATCGATACGAAAAAATAAAATTTTTTTTTTTATTTTTTTCAATGCAAATATACAGCTAATAAGTTTAAAAAAATATGAGCTCTACCGGGATTCGATGTACGGTTCCAAGGAAGTGCGCGTGCGCCATTTCCCTTGAGCCGTTGTCGGAGGATGATGGGGGAAATAATAATAATGTGAAGCGAATAATAACAATTAAGTGCCCGCCCAGATTTTTATAATTTTTTTCTAAGTCTTAATTAACTTTTGAAAAATCGATCTCACAATATAGGTATCAATCGATTCAGAATTTCATGAATCGTAAAGATATTCTATCGTGTGAAGAACTTTTTTAATAAATAATTTTTCTATTTGTTTAAACAAATAGTTAGTTAACAAAAAAAATTTGTTTTCGCAATATTGGTATCATTCGATTGCAAATTTTATGAATCGGAAAGATATCCAATCGTGACGGGAACTTTTTTTTTTTATTTTTTCTATTTGTTTAAACAATTAATAAATTAACAAAAAAAAATTTGTTTTCCACACGATAGGATATCTTTCCGATTCATAAAATTTGCAATCAAATGATACCAATATTGCGAAAACAAATTTTTTTTGCTAACTAACTATTTGTTTAAAC